TTAACCAGCCCTTCAAATATTTGGGATGCTGGTTTACACTCAACAACAAGCAAAATGAACAAATCAAACTTATACAAAATAAAACTTTTTAGCTAACTTATACTGTGAGTACCAAAAAGATTACAGACAAACAAATAATTTATATTATTAATACAGTTATAATACTAACTTTAGAATACAGATTACATAATATAGTATTATCCTGAACTACATGCAACAAAATTCTAGCCAAATACCTTACTGTAGCCAAACACAAATCTAATCTTTCAAGATCTATTTCTAACAGTATTATGCTTAATCCATACCTATATAATGTCTATAATATTTGGAATATACAACTACAGCACCATATCACAAACTTTCACTTAAGTATTAATAACCCCCATCTGCTAGGTATTACAACTTGTATAAGATTACAGCAACTTCAAAACATTTTGTGGTCTAGCACAAATATACTTCAACATCCAAACCTGTTATTAATAGGCCAAACAAATTTACTTTGAACTGTAAAATTATTCAACTCCTTTCCCAACTAAAAATTAGTTTAACAGCTAATCCTAATTTCATATATTCCCAAACAATTAACTATGATTTACAACCTCTTGAACAAATCCTACACCAATATCCAAAATATAATACTTTCAAACAACAACTCAAAAAACTACAATTATTATACCTCGAACAACTATGCATAGCAAACAATACACATCTTCTAGATTGACAACATCTCTCACTTAGACTTAAACATATACCTAGAGGCAGATTACTTTTGTGGTTTAATACACTAAAAAATTTAGTTCTTGAACACAAAAACAGTTGTACTTTATATTCTCAATATCAACAAACCAAAACTAATGTCTTTGCTCTCAGTATCTACAATATTCTCAAAAAATCTAAACCTTAAGCAATTATACTTAACAACAACGAAATTATCTTTGGCAAAATCCACAAAATATACTCAGAAACCAAAGAATTCTCAATCACACATTGGCAAGCAGACTTCAATTTAAATAGGACCCCGAATAATATATATAGAGGTTATATTGGAATTTTGGTTAAAAATAGTACTTTTTTACAAAAATGTTATATTTGAAAACCGGTTATTTGTTTAAAGGTTACATTTAAAACTGGATAATGTCCGTTGAAGTTGTATTAATAAAAGTGGATAAAATTGTTAAATTTGTGTAAGGTTACATTTAAAAAATAGTTAAATTAGATACTAATTAGATAGTATCTACGTGTACGTGTTTCTAAAAATTTCAAAAATGGTTAAGTATACAAAAGAACGCTTATTAAAAAATCCAATGATAGTTCATATATCTGATTGTGGTTTGGAAGTAACATGTAAATGTGGAAAAGTTATTAAACTTAAACGAGCTTATGATGAAGTTTATTTTTTAAGTCATATTAATAGTGGTGGTTGCAAGTTCCAAGATGGTGTCGTTTCAATTTTGAATTATTTTTCACCAACTTTAAAAGATAATCAACCTACTACAAAACGATATACTTGTACTGGATTAGACAGCCCAATTTACAAAGCTTATATTAATCAAGTATTTACTCATACTACTCATGGTGGAGCACCATGAAGAGAAGTTGTTGCCCAAGAACTTTTTCCAAAAAAATTTCCTCCAAATAAGGCTGTAATATATAAGAAACTTTCAGAAAATGATTTGCAATTATTGGATAAAGAAATAATTCGACAATCTAAGTGGAAAATTGAAGGTTTAGTAGTACGATCTGTTTCATGCGAGCAATATACTACAAATTCTTCTCGTTTATGTAATTATTGTAAAGAAGTTCAAGATGATCAAGTTTTTAAAGTATATACAGTATAATTTTTAATACTGTAATTAGTAAGCTTTAATGAAAATTAAGTTTATAATATATATAACTATATATATAGAATGCTGTATCAAAACGAGACACGCCAAATTCTAAAAAAAAGTTTATGCCAAAGATTCAACTTCGAAGCAATCCGATTGCTAAATATATATATAATCAGGATGTTGGTGATCTTTTATATTTAGCAAACAATATTAGTACAAACAATAACAACTCTTTTTGGACAAAGTTTGCAGAGATGGGCAGAAATGGTAGTTTTAATAATCAAAAAATATTTGAAGGTCTATGTAATGTAATGGTTCAGATTGCAGATCGAGAACAGCATAAAAAAGGACTTCAAAATCTCAAGTATTCAGATCAATTTTCTGATTTCTTGGTTATACTTGCAAGTCTTAGTCCACGAGCATATAGTATTTTTCGACAAAACTTAGCTGGACGTGCTATCCAAAATATTAGGTATATATAACTTATTTTTGTTTAATATCTTTATTTTATTATTAAAAATTATTTAAACTTTTTTTAAGATTACATCGTATACGTTCACCTTATGCTCTTCATGATCCTGAGTTATGTTTTGAAAATGTAGCACGAGTTAAAAGACTTGTAGACATGATTGAGTATGCTGGTCCAATTATTGCAATGTCAGACAATACTAAAATTAAGGAAAGGCTTGGATTTTCTTCCCTTTTTGGTTGCATTGTCGGTTCAACACTTTCAACAGAATTAACTAGAGTTTCTACATATGAGGATATACACCAAATTGTAGACACAATCAAATCTCGTAATGCTATTGCTTCTCAAGTTCGTGTTTACTTATTACAGGTATATAGTGTATAATAGTTATTAAATAAAAAACAAGTTTAATTATTATATATAAGCTTATAAATACTTATTTATTTATTATAGATTCCTCTTTCAAAATTCCCACCATGTGTTATTGCAAT